ACGAAACAACATACTTTTCTATGTTGATTTCAAGTAGAGTTCTTTCGCACTTTAGATTTCACTCTTCAACTTTACATTATAGTATTAGGCTGTTTCGAAATTTTCTATAAACAAGTTTTCGTGCTTTTTTCTTAATTTCTTTTCTTACACCAACATCAATCTGCAAATACAGAAGCGATTAATAAATCCAAGCACCTCCATTTTGTGATGGTCAGTATTGACATATCATCCTACGCTTGACAAGTACGATAGATGTAAGATCAAGCAATATCTGCATTTTAATTTACTAACTCTTTTCTATAGGAACTCACGTCAAATGAGTCTTGAAAAAAACTAAAAAATTAATTTGATTATCTTAAACAGTCAATTTCTGTGGCTAAGTGTGCTTCTATCAGCGCCCCTAAGAATTTATTTCAAATGATTTCTTCCGCATTCCGTCTCTTAGAGAAAAACTGCTTAACTCTCATCTTTTCATTCAATAGTGACATGACATATACGGACAAGTGACATTAGAGAAGAAGAGTCTAAGTACGGACTAATGATATAATTCGAGGAGCGTCATGGAAGATAAACCCGATAATTATTGTTGTCAATTACTAAGTTTTTATAAATTCTTAGATAGAATTTTAAAACATTTAATTCTTCGATTAATCGGTTATAAGAACATTCTAGCTCGAATTTTAGAAAATCTGTAACAGCAAAAACAAAACCAAGCATTTTTTGTCTTTGATGGTATCATATCTCTAGATTCATATATTAGTGTTTAAGATATTGTTAATAGAGCTTGAATGCAAGTGTGAGCTCTAGTTTCGATATTACTTTCGTTGTAAAAAAAATGAACAGCCTAGAAAGCAAGCTGTGGATTCGAAAAGGAGTATCTGAAAACTTTATCAAGAAACCATAAGCGTGGGTATTACAACAACCAACAATTGACCTTTTTAGAGCAATCCTTCGTCCTTTTAATCTAAATATCCCGTGAATCCACTTAAATTGTTGAAGATTAGTTCTCACCATAAACTTTTAAGATTCCAAAGAAAAGCAGATGCTCACCAATCGATAAGACAGAGCAACAACAGCAGCCAAGCCTTTTTAAAATCTGTTATATGTTATTTTGTCACACTTCTCTAGGCAAATAATGTGTTGAAAAGAAAAAATACAGCTAAAGCGTGCAAAAATTTTCAGTACCTTTAACTTATCCTCATATACGTTCATTGCCGCCTCAAACATTTTTATATTGTAATTCTCCAACTAGGAGTAGACCAAAACCACGTATGGCTAAAAGACAGGTATCTAGAATGCTGAAGCATAGATACTTGCCATCCTCCAATGCAACATTTCTAACAAATTCAGATCCACCAGATCACCAATATCTTCTGTGTCCTATAGTTAAGGAGATTATAAAAAATTCATTAGATTTATAAGAGAATAAGCAAAAAAGAAATAGAGATGAGATTAGGGAGACAAGAGATGACGATATCAGAGCTAGTGAGCCAGATGCATTCAAATATGCCTCTATACGCAAATCGACCGATATGATCGAGCGATCGTAGACTAGAATTACCACACACAGGCTTTCGCCCAGTGATAGTAAAACTTTCAGAACATAGAGCAACAGCAATACAATATGGAGTGTTTGAAATTATCCTCTAATTAAAACTTTCATAATGGTTTCAAGAAGTTTACAGCCGAAAGCCTCCTATCCCAGCTCTTGATGTAAATCGGAGGGCATTGTGTCCTGGTCCCGGATCGGCCGATTAAAAACTAGAAAAACTTTTAGACCTTGTTACGTGCTGACGCTACTTTACATTATGTAGAAGTAGTAAAGGGCGTCGATGGCGTTTAAGCATATTGGCAAAAATATGAATCACAACAAGCTGACGCAATGCAGAAGTATCAAAAAAAAAAGAAATTGAAAAGCACGAAATCATTGTCGATAAACTGCAAACTCTATACTTAAATTCAGGCAGGTACTCCAACAATCGCTGCATCTTGCCAAACGGGCAAGTGTACGGCAAAGCAATACGAAAGGAGCTTCGTATGATGACAGATAATGAACGTTCAAGGTTAGAAATTGGTAAATCACTCTACAAAAATAGTGTTAACTATTTGTTAAATAATTTTTTCGCAGATTTCGCAGCGCAATGTGGGGTATTCGTCAAACAACCTATAGAGAATTGGGAGTGATTCATTCCAGTTATAGCACTTCACCAGGTGCTCATGGTGGTCCCGCATTTTTACCGTGGCATAGAGAGTTCATCAAAAGGTTGACATGAAGACATGAAAAGTCTAAACAACCCCAGCAAGCAATTCATTTCATTTCATTTTAGAATAGAGTTTGCGTTGAGACAATACGACCCTACAGTCGCGCTGCCCTATTGGGAT